TCTAGAAGTTCTAGGAGCATAAAACTATACAGTTTGCAAGGAATAAAATAGAATATAAACCATGAATATTTTCTCGCACCAACTCACCCGTGATTGATTTATCAATGGAAGAAATTCCTTCAATGTTTTCGAGTTTTGCTTCACTAAAAATAAAAGCGGCTTCTGTTTCTGAAAATATCACTGCAAATTTCCGTCGAACTACTACCACTGACCTTCGCTCATTTTCAAAACCTCTGACACTTGATGACACAATATGCAAAGCAAAGAAGGCTAGAACAGTGTATTAAGTCGAACCAAGTCCTGCTGTTAAAGGTGTGATAACAATTTCTTAAACTGGTTTTTGATTTCATTGTTGATGCACATCCATAAAATCGCACTACAAGAGGATTAGGTTCAAAAGTTTTTTTTATAGCAAATATTCTCTAACTTCGATAACAAACTAAGTAACCCTGTAATTGTAAAATTTTAACAGGCATGCTGCAAGTCATCATATTATGGCGGGGAAAAAGACATTCTTGTTTCAGCCTATCTGCGTCTATGGTTTGGAATAAGGTGTTTACAATGTTCGCTAATCAAGTTATGAAAACTGACAAAACGACAGCATATGGAATTCGTGGGGCACCTCATTTACTATTTCTGTAGCCCACTTTTAACAGAAACAATCGCTTAATCCCCTCCTATGAAGCATTACCAAGGTATCGTAATCTCCGTCTTCCCATTTATGACATTGTCTCGAACGAGTAGCCTTTTTTCAAAGGAACATCTCTGACGACTGGTTGCCGTTCTCACTGATTGCAAATAATCTTGGCGTCCAAGGGAAGTTATAACCCCTGTGCTGGATGTTTGACCACATTCGCATTCTGTGTGACCCAGTCGTAACTCAGAACTAATTATATTATTTGTCATTTATTTATTTACTTATTTATTTGTTTACATGAATAGAAGATAAAGGATAAAGCTCTAATCTCTGACTCTAAAGTCGATAAAGGCTGTGATTAATGTTTGCAGAATGGGCCATGATTAAGACTTCATTAAGTATCGTTTGAGGTGAATTAATGCGTATCTAGCCTATACAAGGACTCACGGTGGCCTATCGACGTATCGAGTTAGTGCTGCTATCCCCAGACAAGTCTGGTACTAATTTGACGTTACTGGATGGATATAGAGCTTAGTAAGCCTAGGGTGCAGGATTGAGCCCGTGTGTATTAAAGGACGCTTCTAACCACTCCGCCAAACACAACCCATATTTACATGATCCGTCATCAAATCTACTGTGTGGATCTCTGGAGTTCTTCCATTTGATTCGTTTTCCACTTACTCATAGTACACAAAATATTCGTATATTTCGGGTATTGTTTCGGTTGTTGGGTGAGAATTTCTTCTTTTTTATCATTGTTATAGAATCTTGGAAAAAGCGGTTCAACTCGAAATTTTGGAGTTAGCCGATCTAAAGTGTTCTCAAGTGGATTGGGGAAAGCGTTGGTGAAGCTGTCGAACTAGCTCCTCCTTTCCTGTAGATTTTATCTTGACGTATTTACGTGTAAAGAACAAAATATTGTATTTGATGAGTTGTTGAATGCAGTGAAAAACAAGTAAATACATGCTAATAGCTCCGCACACCTCCAATATAGAAGCCCCAGACGAGGGCGATGAAAGACCGGTTTGTTATTAGCCACTATGTTGTCGCTCAACGAACGTCTTGTCACGCTCTCCTACATTATCATCTAATCATCGTATGTAGCTTAATCCTTCCAAATCAGTCACATTTTATGTCTTTTTCAATAATAGCCCATCACTACCGGCAAATAAGCTGGAAAATATCCACGTTTAACGAGAGGAGAAAGGAAAATCTATTATAATGCATGTGAAGTGAATCATGATGTGGTGTAATTCATTCGAGTCATATATCACGACTTTCATATACCAGTTTCAGGATCTTATTTCATACATATTTGGACCCGTATGGAAGGTCAATATCCTGATAACAATAGGTGTTTGCTTATAAACGGTGGTAGCAGAGCAAAGTAGTCTGTTCGAAAAAGTTCTTCTAACAGAAGCGTTTCATTGATTAGCTGGCGTGGCTTAAAACCAAACAATTTAAAAATCAGACGAATTACGCTCGGTTCCACCTGGCAACCAACTGTACATGACTACTCAGCGATATTTGGATTATCTCATCGATGAATTTTCGATAGGGACAAATAACCATAATAATGTACAAGTACAAAGCTGTAAATAATTGTATTAGCTGTAACATTGTGATTACACTACTCGTATTCTAAAAATCTGTAATATAAGCAAACGAATCGACAGTGACTAATATTTATTCTATCGATAAGTTGTGTAGAAGCTGAAAATTCAATATTAGAAAATTTAACTCTTCTCATTGAATATGAGGTGGAACCTCCCTTAACTTCGATCACACCTTTATCTTGGAGTGGAGTTTTATCCAACCTATATCAAGCAACGTTACTTATTGAAGACCTCGGACCAAAAGCTGAATAAACCCTTTTTCAAGATCACATGAGTGTAAACATCGAACGCTAAATGTGGTTTTGCATTTCTGGACCGCATTAAAAGAATTCTCAAAGCAAGCACCAGCAAGAGGACTGTTGCTCGTTGGTTGCTCTAGATGCTAAAATAATTTTTTCTTCGGTCCTTATAACATCAAAAGCTTTTAGTTTAACTTCTGGGCGCAAGCAAAGACAAAACGGAAAGTTCTTTTATAGAGAGCCGCCATTCTTTTTCTTTTGAGCAGGTGACAAATTATGAGTGTTATTCAGGCTTTGCGTTTAATAACAGATGGGAATTTCTTAAACGTTGTTACAAGAGGCATACTATATGACGCAGTAATCCACCGCTAATTAGAAATCCGTTAGTATTTTATTATTTCTCGCATTGTCATTAGGTTAAAATTCTCAAGGCGCTCAAAAATATGCATGTTTCTCTTGAAAACAGTCAATGATGGTAACGATCAAGTACTCGCATCGGAATGAACATTTCACTAACATAAGATCGAAAACGCGTTTCTGTTGTACAACGTGTGTGTGCGGTTTTTACCATCAGCAGACGTTTAAAAACCAGCTCACCTCGGTTAGTGGCCTTTAGCAGAGATTAGCTGGTAGCTGGAGAAAATCTTCACATTTCTCTGGACCACTACGTAATCCAGTCCACCCTCGCACTTATTTGAAAGATATTTCTTGTCCTTTTATCAACGTCGGTACAGAGGTATCATAATAAGTTGCGTATTTTCATCTACTGTCGCTCTAAGACATTTAGCAACTTTTCACCTGAACAGATTCGGAAGCTGCTTTAGAAATGTGACTAGCTAACATGATCAGTTGCAATAAACGGTCTTTTCGAAAATGTACAAGATAGGGCTTTCAAACTTTTTTCTCGAATCCCAGAGCTTTTAAAGGTTCATTTGCTTTTATGTTTTGCACATTTTGTTTGAGTCGAACTCGTACTATATTCGTGTACTGCTAGCTTCATCAACATGAAATATTTTACCGCGTCATCAAATGCTCAACTGGAGACAATTCAACGAATGTCATAACATTTGCGAGATCTGAAGTACATCTTAGGTGCTTATTTTTCTTCAAATGCTACCTTTTACTTAACGAAAGATGTTGGAACGAAATGATTCCAACTGTTTATTTCATGAATGCTAATTCACTGTGAAATCCCGCATCCCGTTACAATATCTATTTAATGATTTCACAATTTCGAAGTTTCGGTCCAGGCATAAGGTATTCGTTTTATTAACCGAAGCTTTGCTTATCATCGAAATCACTAACTTGTAAGGAAAAAGAAATTCATCGAAAGTGACCACAGATAGCGGTCTCTTGCTCGTGAAATTCCTCCTCACCTATTCAGTTGGTAAATTCGCCTGTCTTTACAAATTATAAGATGGGATTGTAGGTCATATCACAATAGTTGTTTTCGTCTGAAGCTTGTTTAGCAGGTTCCATTGATGTGAGTCAAAACCAGTTCGATCGAATCCGACTGTTTTTCCAGGATGCGTTATCTATTCGTGTTATTTCTGCTGTTTCCAATAGCTGTCTTTACGATACGACCAGATCACATCAATGGACCGCAATTCCTCAATCCACCAGCTGCACTTTTCCAAGTAACGTACAAGATTATATAAATACAAATGTGTAGGCATTGGTTCCAGAGTATGGCGCAGTGGTTGGAGGCGCTACTGCGGCACACATGTGGAATCGATCCCAGCGCCCATAGCCTGGCCCACCAAACCTTCCATCCCTCCGGGTTCGGCAAATTGATACTAGACTTGTTTGGGAGGATAGCAGCACTAACTCGATACACCGGTACGCCACCGGGAGTCATTGTAATGGCCAGATATGCATTCAATCACCTCTAACGATACTTAATGAAGTCGAATGCATGGCGCATCCCTCAGGGATTAATCAACGCCGAGAGAGAGAGAGAAGTTTATGTAAGCATATATAAGACAATCACAAGATGAAGAGACATTTGCAAAACTTTGGACCGCTAGTGTAAAAGTGAATAAAAAGTAAGCATTGTGATTTCAACTAGTCTCAACTTAACTGGGTTCGATGACGATGTGGGTTTCCCAGATCAATCCCGGTGACGGGTGATTGCTGTGGCAAGGATCGATTGAACTAGATGAGAGATAGGCGAAACGAAGGACCTGCATGGTGTGGTGGTGAACGCATTACTCCCCGGAAAGGGCAATAGCGCGTTCGTTCCCCACAATAGACACCTGCGGTCCAGAGTTTTGCAGATATCTCAGCAACATTGAAGTTATATTTCGCAATTTACCCTGCCATTAAAAAACAATAGGCAGTGGATAACAAGTTGGAAGTTACGTTTAGCTTTATTCTAGTCTTAGTAAGTACGATGTTAGTATCTAGATTACCCTTACTACAAATGAAAATTTCAACTATCGGTTGTACAAGTTTGTTTCACTACAGGCACGTGCTACATCTTCAGACGAACTTGATCCGTGCCAATATATGCTTCAGAACCTAACGAGTGTGTCATGGTTTTTTAAGTTAAACTATTTCCTCAAAAAATAAAGAATAAAAGTATATTTTAAGGTGTCGAAAATCTTCGAGCTCACGAATTCGCATCACTGGAGCAATGTCTTTATTACTTTTTAGCAAGTGAGAGTGCAAAACGTATGAGAAGGTTGAGTATCTTACTTGTTTGTCACTTAGCAGCTTCCGTAAACGTTTAATCACCTTTCAAACAGATTATATAACCTACTGTTGAGGTTGGGTATTCCACATCCTATCGCCTCCGTGCCTCCAAATTACTTAAGTCGACAGCCTGTCAATATCAAATTCAATCAGATTACTCTTCAGCACTTTGAATTGGTAGGTTTTTTAAACAGAGCATATGAAGAAGACGAAAGTTTAATGATATTAATAATGATAGAAAACGTGGAAAAACTGTCGTGTTTTAGAACGAATTTCTCAAAGATATCGCTATTCATGGTTATATGGAGATGTCATGGATGGACGACCGACTTAAATGGAGCCGTGATAAGTGGAAAATGGAAAAACTTCAGATACAGAGCCTGAATCACGTCTGGATTCCGTTGTTTATTGCTCAAAAGTACGCATATAGAGAAACCTTCTAACACATTAGACATGATTAGAAGTGTACGTTTCGGTCAATCTCGTGCCATTTCGTAATTTTCCTGATTCCCAGTTTACAATTCTGTCGTCCTTATCGTACTTGGCTGCCTTTTAGCTATGACACTCACTTGAAGAATGGTGACGCTTTTGAGATGAGACGACTGGAAACCACATCAGCCGGAAACGTTTCTGCTGTTCTTGCATTTTCGCTGAGATCGTTCTGTGACGATTCCGACTTTGATAATTATCCGGATGACGTCTACAAATGCTGTTTCACGCTCGAACCTCAATCAAATCCTGTAAGAACATGGTTAAAATTTACAAAGGACTTGCTTTTTTATTCTTCTCTGCAGGATATTATCGAATTTGATGCATCTGGCTTACCGATTTTCACTGACCCAAAATATTTTCGCGACTATGGCTGGAAGGTATCTGGAACTGTGCCGCAAACTCTAGAAAATCCTGATCAAGTCGCCAAAGTACTGCTCAAACAATGTTGACCACGTATGTTGCTTTTTGCAATTCAATTTTCTATGTATCAGCTCGGTTTCTGCTTGAATCTCCAACGAGCCTCATCGGCTGTTCGTATTGAGCTGACTGTGCCCACAATGGTCTGCGCGTTTCTATTTCTACTGACACCGTTCCTTGGCGCAATTAAAATCCAGGTATTACTGTCAACCTTTTCAAGAGTTTGTTTGCCTGTTGAGCCTTCCAAGTTGCAGTGTAAACAAAACTGTTCAATTTAAGATTTACGCGAAACTTTCCGTCATGGCGTTACAGTTTCTCACATTCATTTTGTTCTCAAACCGGATATCTCCACATCTTGGAAGCGCGGCCGCTACTCCGAAATTGTGTAATTAGCAAAAGACGTTTTTAGTAATTTGAGAGCAATATTTTTTCATGGCGTCCCTGAAACTTCAGTGCGATTTCTGGAGTTCTCCGTGTCGTTAAATGGCTTTTCTCTGGGTGCCTCAATCCTTCTATGGGCTTGTACGAGGGTAAGACGGGATTTGCCACCTTGGAGACAACTCAACCAGTAAGGAAAATTTTAACGACTCACTCGCCCTTTCTCGCTATCTCTCTTCCTCTCTTCCTCTCTCTTCCTCACTTCATTGGACATTTCATGCATTCATCAAGTAGATTTTTTTTAACGATTATGTTGAAAGTTTTAGGATATCATCATTTGTTAACCGATTCCTTTGTGTACTGCAAACACACAGTTCTGATGAGGAAGAAACCGTTGAAAAGGCATCCGCACGCGGAAACTACCAAAAGGTGAATATTTCGATTTAATTACCAAGGAGGAATATTATGCTACAAGCTTCCACCAAGTGAAAGACTTTAAGCAGTCGTCCTATATCATATTTCTAAAAGATGGAGATGTTTCACAAGTGTTAACACACAATGCACTTTCCCTCATTTCCGTGGGAAAATTTGCTCGTGTAAATGCGGATTGCGTTATTCACGTGCACTCAGCTAAAAGACAGCAATGAGCTAGCTGAAAAGGTGTTTGGAAAAATTCCTGCGTTGGTCTCGACATGTAGGCATTAACTATCCTCGGCTATCTCTTCAATGAATGATGTAAAGGTAAAGAGTCTACATAGAATAAGTGATTACCTGATCATCAGTTGGGCAAGCCGGACTAGATGGTCACTTTTGAAAATGCCAAGTAGAGGCTTTATTAGTATTTGAACGTCTCACTCGATGCATAATGGAACCAGTGTCAGCGAGTTGCCATCGTAGGTATACCCATTCAGCAGCAGTATCCTATACTTAATAATTATTCATGTTAAATGTATTCAATTTTGTCCTTTCGTCGAAAATACTTGCGATGTGTGAACAACGTTAATTGAACTACCAACTGAACTTCTGTACTCTTCACTCTAGTATTACGTAAAAAATGGTATTTGTTCGATATTGTGAAATTTGTGTCAATCCTCACTGAATGGTTTTCGAAATCCAATCACAGAAAAACAGTCCAAGTCCCAAGTTGCTTAGATTTAACAATGTTGTTACAGGACTGGTCAGCTGCGTTCACTGCCATACACGCCATCACAATGACCACCATCTCAATCATCTTCATCATCGGCTACCTCTTTCTTTTTTGACTACTAAGAACGACAAATACCAGTAGCCGACTAAGGCGTAGATATTTAGCGATTTCTCCTTCTCACATATGTCAACGATTGCTCATTGGAAAGGCAACCCACCATTATTTTCATGTGTTCTGAGCGTACATTCCACTCTGTATATAAGTTACATACATTAATATTTTATTTGTGTTTCGTCAAGGATGACTTATTGTCATAGAGAATTTTCTACATCTATACAGCTTATTCCCTGTTACGCTTGATCACTTAATGATAGCGAAATCTGTGATGAAATCAATGAGTGGATTTTATTGCCACTTTTTATTGCCATCTCATTAAAATCGAAAGCACTTTGCATAGGAAACGCAAAATCTCAGATAGAAGATACAAAAAAGAAAGAAAAAAAAGCGAGAAAGTTGCGAGGAAGATGATGTAAGGATAATGTGGGAAAACCTCAGAAGTAGGAATATCCCAATGACACATGTGTGATGGTTAAGCAAAGATTCTACATTATCCGAAAATAAAACGAAACAAATTCGAAACAACATGTAATTTCGTCTATAACCATGTGGAATGTGAATGACGACAGTGCAGAAATGATATAAGTTTTTATCAATATAAACGAAGACTAAGCGAAACTCTAGCTGATCATAGAATAGAAATCATTAATAAAAAAGCCACCAGTGTTCGAGATCAAAACGAGTTGACTAGGTGGAAGAAAGCGTCATGAAAAAATCGCTTATGGTGTGAGCATGCATTCGCCAGCACCGTCATGACCGACCCGGATTGATAATTATGGATAACCGTTTGGAAGATTAGGCAACTTTCCATCGTCCTGTCGTGAAGTTAAACGTGTCGTTAAGGTCGGATCACCAGGATTCGCAAGATCGACATTACGACTGCAATTCATACAGTTTAGTCGATATAAAAAGGAAAAACACCGAAAGTAAAAAAAACACTTTAAGTAGCCATCGATATTTGAAACGTCCATCGTTTTCAGCTTCAAGGGTTCCGCCTGCCGTTTGTTCTCCTCCTTCACGTCATCATTCATATCCACTGACAGAGCTCGTAGTGTCTTTTTGCGCACCACGTCCAGTTTAGGCTGCAACGAAAGTACTAAGTTGATGATTGGCAACTTTGAGAGTTCGAAACTGCGTTTCAGGTACACCACTCAAGCTCATTCAACGCACGACCTATCGCGTTGATTACCATTCAAGTTTTCAATAAACTAGTAATAAAATAGATAAACTTCAATGTCCTAACTCCGTCAAAGTAATGTTGTATTTAAAATTTGCCATGGATGTAATAAGAGACAGTTATCACAACTGATGACAGTATATTCACGATGTTGTTACCTAACCTAATCCGTTTTCCGCTTCGGTCAAAAGGTTTAGACTTTATTTGATTTAGAGTGTTACGATGTGCTTAAGAGCACACTAATAGCACACACAAAAGATAATACAGCAAGCAAATTTTTATACATATATATATATATATATATTTACAAAGAGACGTGCACACGTCTCTCGATACAAACGCACATACATATATACATACAAAGATACATACACATAAATACGTACACATATTCACATACACATATATACACACATTCAAACACAGACATATATTCGTATTTAGTTGCTTACTTACTCATTTAATCACATACTTAATTACGTACTTAGGTACTTGTATGGTCTTTACTGGTACTGCGGGTCCCACCACATTTCCCATTCGTTCCATTCTTGCGAAATCTGAGACTCAACTCGTAATCTCGAAACCGTTCCCATCTGCGAATGCAGGTGGTTGACGTTACTCAAAAACGCGTCCATATATCGTTTAGAGGGTCGTCAAAGAGAAGGCTTGCATTCGCTTGGAGTTTATACCACTGTTCTTTCCGTCCCTGTCATCTGTTGTTTCTATTATGAGACTAGCACACCCATCTGTGCTTCGCTATCGATGTATATTCTCCTAGGTATCAAAGATGGGATAAGTTTGGAAGATTTGAGCTACGCATACCTGATATTGTGAGTGCCAGTTAAATTCCAAAAAACATCGCTCAAGCGCTCTGTGGGCGATGCGAAGTTTTTGGGGGGTTGAAGTGCCAACCTACGCTCCTGCTGCACAACGGGAGGACTGATGAATAGAAAAAGTGAGCACGTATTCCTGGGTCCGTTAGTTGGTCGGTGGCTTCTTTGAGAGACTTCAATGAGGCTCATGTTGCTCTTCTTCTTCTGTCTAATTCCTCTTCCATGTTGTCCTCCATGTTCAACAAACGACCAAGGCATACGCATTCGTTGGACTCTGTAATCACGAAAGTATCCAATTCAAAAAATTGCCTTTACACTATGCGTTCTTCATGAAATAGAACTTCGTCCTAATTTTGCGAATTCCAAAGCATTTGACAGCATAGAGACGAGTGAAATCCTATCAACGCTCGTAGACCAAGGAGTGGAACCGTTCTATATACGAACTCTATCTGACCGTTCTTATCGGAACTACGGCACTGAAGCTTCCGCGATCGCAATTTCTGTTTACGACAAATCCAAAGCCGTTTACAGTCACATTGCAGTGGATAACGATGTTGCCCGGTAGGAACAATAAGGTTATATGATTTTGCAAAAGAATTTCTGCAAATTCTTCATTTCCTGATGACATCGTCGTCTCTTCCAGGAGTATCAGTGAAGCAGATTACTGGATTACAAAGGACTATGGCGACGATCTGTACCTACAATGCACGTACACTTGCATCCGAGCCCTCGATAGAAGAATTGCTCATGAAAGCAAGAAGGATAAGGTACGACGTTATCGGCCTAGCCGAGACGAGACGACGCCAGCCTTTCAACGCCGTCTATGACACCGGAGAAGAACACTGTTCCTCGGAACATACGACAGCAGAAGGGCCGGCGGCGTCGGCGCTCTCGTCAACAAGAGTTTGTCTATGAACATCGATTCATTCGAGCAACTTACAACCAGAATCGGACGTTTACGATTAAAAAGACGTGGATCAATACCGACTTTTACAATCTTCGTCGCTTACGAGCCGACATCAAACTATGGCGAAGAAGAAGTCGAATCGTTCTATATGGATTTCGAGAAGTACTACAGAGAAGACCATACATTCTTCAAGGTCATCATTGCAGATTTCAACGCGAAGATTGGACCAAGAAGGACGTCTGAAGAAAATCACATCGGGATCCACGGATTGGAGCAGAACGAACAGGGTGAGCGGCTTTCTGAGTTTATCATGGCGACCAAGACAATCCATGGTAACTCGCAATTCAAGGAGCCTCACCTTCAGCGCTGGAAGTGCGAGTCTCTCAATGGAGAGTACCATAACGAAATAGATAACATCATAGTAAATAGAAGGTTTTGCCTAACCGATGTCGTTATTGTCCCAAAATTCTACACGAGATCAGACCACCGCCTCCTTCGCGCAAGCTTGCAAAAAGGAGGAAAAGCCGCTGAATTCAAAAAACGAAGTCCAAATGCCTCTACAAATTTGGACTTACTCAACTCATTAGTAGGCTGTTGGAAAGACGCCGTTGTCGATAACATCGACGAGGAGTACGATCGTCTCAGTCAACATCTTCACGTTAGCGCTATGAAAGCTGAGAGTTCGAAAGTCACCAAGAGATGTCTGTCTCCAGAAACACTCGAGCTGATACGCTAGCGTGGAATCGCAAGAGCTGCAAGCAACCGCCGGCTAACGTCCAAACATGCAAAACAATGCAGACAAGTGATAAAAGAAGATCTTAAAGAAAGAACAGCAGTAATGGTCGAAGCTGCAGAGGCGGGAAAAGCATTCGCAAGGCTCACCGAAGCTTCACCAATTGCAAGACCAAAATGATTGCACTACAACGTCCAGACAGAATAGCTACAGCGTCCAGAAAATCAATGGAGAAAATCATTCACGAATACTAAACAGATCTCTTCGATAGCCACGTCCACCTTCCATCATATGAAATAAAGGAGGATGGATATGTTGCACCACCGGTACTACCTTCCGGAATACGACATGCCATTTCGTCGGTGAAAAATCGAACAGCATCAGATCCGGAGAGGAGAAGATAAGAACACCTGAAGAACCTTCCGCCAGTCATCGTGAACATGCTGGCTCGGCTCTTCACAAGTTACCTGTCTGAATGCAATATCCCTATTCAGTGGTAGACCAGCAAGACCGTCTTATTGTGCAAGAAGGGT